GTCCAGCCCCTATCCCGCCTCGTGGCTCTGCGGGATGGCTTAGGGCGGTCCCCCAGGGCTGGGGGTGAGCGTGGGGAAGAGGTCTGGACCCGGGGTCCCCGTGGCTGGAGTTTAAAGACCCTCACTCACTCCAGTAGGTGACACCAAATCCCTTGACACACACGCAGGTCTCACCAGTAGCTGGCACTTGGTCCTTGCAGCACTCACTCACACTGGGCAGAGAGTGAGCCGACCCAGAGGAATAGTTAAAATATTTAATAAGAGCATATAAAAAGATAGGACAGGCTGTGGCGACCAGGCACGGCACCCCGGTTTATACCCGAGTGGCCCCTTTTACACCCCTTTCTGCCACCCACAGCTTTGTTCCTCCTGGTTCCCCTTCCCGCCCCCCCGGGTCCCATTCCCACACCCAGCCCAGCCTGTGTCTGGAGACCCTCTGGTTCACAGGCTCAGCAAAACCCAGGCTGATCCTCCTGGAAGGGCCAACCCCGGTGTGGTTCCTGGATAGCCCGTGGACTAGTGTGAGTGGTGATGTCTGGTCCCCTTCATTGCCTCCCTTGTCATCTGGTGGTCAGGGCTGTGTTCCCAGCTCCCTCCTTTTTGTATTATTCCTGATTGCACGCAAGGTGGTTCCCAGCTCCCTCCTTTTTGTATTATCCATGATTGCACTGCAGGCCCTCAGCCCTTAACGGAGCAGACACACACTCTAACAGCATGTTCCAACAGCTACGTGTTCTCCAGGTGTTTAAGAGAAGGAATAAATATAAAACAATACTTAAGGCAGCAGTCTCATTTCCACCCCACAAAGCCACAGAGCATGTGGTGAGGACCATTTCACTGAACATTTCCTGGAAGCTCCTTTGAGCTTCCAGAAGTTGCTGTCTCCACTTAGGCAAGTCTGAATTTCACCTGAGCTTGACCCAAAAAATCTCTTCTTAGATATTGATCACCAGAGCAGACTGCTCCTGCCCTGACTGGTGTGTTCAACAGCAGGAGGAGGTCACCAGTGAAGGCATCCACATGATCCAGAAAGGAACTGACTTTATGGACGTGAAGAATGTGATTTGAAAACAATCTGCTGGCTTTCTTTTGAATGTAAAGCAGCTGCTATTAAGGCAGACTTTCCCTGAAGATGCATGAACCCGTATCTTCCTATATTTCATGGATTCTTTGAGGGGACTCCTTCACCCATTGCTGCTGGGGTCAGGATGCTTGTGTGCTCCTTCAGTGAATTTTGGTCATTTGGTTAAACCAGGCTGGAGAGGAAGGTTTGATGCTGATGCGGGTTCCCATCAACACCTGTGGGTTGCTGTGGCTTGCACATGAGAACAAGCCTTTGCAGATAGCTCTGCGTGGTCAAGTAGTTCTCCTCTTCCAGCTGTGAGAAGTGCCTATGGACACTGAGGATGGGGAGGCTGAGCTTGAGGTACCCATTTTGATGGGAGCTCCTCTACCAACAGCTGCCTGGAACTTCTGGAGAGGTAGAGGCCCTGTCTCAGGGAGGCAGACAGGTCTGAGATGTTGGCACTGGACTGGGAACCGAGGTCTCTTGTTCCAGCAGCTTCTCACCAGTGGCAACCAAGTCAGCCAAGCAAGGCAGGCCTGAGACTGGGAAGTTCAGAAGTTTTATTGCTACTTTGCACCATGGATTTTGCATTGAAAGGTCAGGGGTTCAGCCACTGGTAAACCTGATTGCCCTTCTGTTGCTCCTGTAAGCTGAGCAATGGGAGCAAAAGCAGTCTGCTTTCCCAGGCCTAGTTGCTCTTCTCCAGGTCTGTGATGAGGTATGGGTTATACTTCTCAAGAATCCGGTAGAGCTGCTCCTGGGCCTCCTGCCCTTTCCTCTCGACTAGGTCCAGCAAAAATTGGTTCTTCCTTTCACTCGTACCTTGACCTCGCACCTCCTCTTCCTCATTGCTGCTGATGACGTTTGCATCCCGTAAGTGTAGCAGAATGGTGGAAAGCTGCCCCATCCTCAAGCAAAGCTTGGTCCTGTGCTTCTTCATGAAGGCTGCCCCTAGCAGACACCAAACCCATGTTACTGTGCTGCACGCGGCCAGGCAGCCGCAGGGGAGTGCAACGCTGCCGTATGTACCATCCTAAGCCAGTGGACACCACGGCTGTGGACCCTGGCCCACAGCCACGTGGCTCCATCCCTCCACCAAAAAGGATGAGCACCTGCTACACTAGCGGTGGGAGTGCTGGAGGCAGGGCAAGGAAGGGGGCAGGAATGTGAAGCCAGAGCTGGAGGAGGTGAGGTTGGTGGCTGCCGGCATCAGCTGCCGGCAACTGTCCCCTCTGGGATTCCTACAGTGTCTGGGTGTGAAGTTGCCGTCCTGCCTCCTGCCCTGCAAGGTGAGGAGCTCCTAACTCAGAGCGCAGGTTGCTCAAAGCTCCAAAATCTCGGAGGATTGCAGGTGGTTTGTAAAGAAACGGAGCCTGGAAAGGCAGCCGACGCCAGCGGAGTGCTGAGCAAGCCGCAGGTCAGTGCCGTGGGCAGTGCTGCCTGGCTTCTCCTCCCAAGGCTACACCTAGTCCTCCTACACAAGGCTCAGGTGTGCACCCAGATGGGCATCTCCTTGTAGAATCCCAGGATTGTTTGGGTTGGAAGGGACCTTTAAAGATCATCTAGTCCAACCCCCCTGCCATGGGCATGGCCATCTTTCACCAGACCAGGTTGCTCAAAGCCCCATCCAACCTGGCCTTGAACACCTCCAGGGATGGGGCATTTCTGGGCAACCTGGGCCAGTGTCTCACCACCCTCAAGGTAAAAAATTTCTTCCTTGTGTCCAATCTAAACCTGCCACCTTTCAGTTTAAAACCATTACCCCTTGTCCTGTCCTTGCTTTTGTCTGCCACTCTGCTCTCCTGGTGCTCTCGGGCAGGTTATACGCCAGTGTGGTGATACCACATGGCGCGGCAAGGAAAAAGAATAAAGCTGAAATGTTCAAATTTGTGTCTATCCAAGCCAGGCTTATATGCCTCAACCTGTGGCTTAGGTGCCTGGATCTTGGATCTGGCCTTTCATTAGTAAGATGAGATGCAAGAGGCGATGATGAAGTGTTGTGGCCGTGGAGAAATTAGGCTGGGACAATACGTTCAAAACTGCTGGGCAGCATGTTGTTGTTACTGGATTTGAAGCAGGTAGAAAGCAAAGCCCCTCGGTGAGAAACTCCTGGAGCTGCTGTAGAGGTGGCCCTGCTGTCCCCTCTGCCAACGCCAGGTCACGGGCTCGTCCCCAGAAGCATCGCTCCCGTGGAAAATGCTCCCGGTTGGCACAGGGGCTGTCAGCCCCCACGCTGGCTGCGTGGGATGCAGTGCCCAGACCCCTTACTAGAACTCCGATGAAATATTACTTATGGACTGTGACCTGTACTGGCTGCAGCTCATTCTCTGTACCAACAGCATGTCTGTCCCCAGAAAAGGCAAACCGGTTTGGAGGGTCACCTGCACTACGCCACTTCACCCACCCGCCTGGCACCGAGCATGCTCCTAGCAATGTGGGAATAAGCGTTTGAGGTGGCATCTTTCAAGGCTTTTCATCGAGAAACTACCATAAGGACGGGAAAAGAGGCTGATATCTGCTTTAAACCAGAGGAGGGTGAGCTCCAAAGAACTAGATCCAGACATGCAGCTCTGAAACACTGTACTGACCTGACGAGGTCTTGGAGGCGCGGGCAGGAATGTTAATATCACCTGAAAGAGAAAGGCGAGAGATCACTGAAGGTGCCATCACTGAAACGATGGTGCCTAATCTTCCATGAGATCTTCCTGAGGTGCCTAATCCTCCATGAAGCCGTTACCCACTCCTGCCCATCCATGAACTCACGAGGAGATCCTGGGCTCTGCCTGGTTGCAGGTGTTGCTTTGAGAAGGTGCCAGACTAGACCAACAGAGCAGGGGTCCCAAGGCACGCCTGCGAGATGCTGCCCCCCGCAGCTCCTCTGCCAAGCTTTCCCACAGGGGACCCCACGGGTGGGTGCTGCTATGCGACGTTAGTGGCATGTGTGGTGGCTGCGGAGCCCCCCCGGCAGCAGCTGGGTGGAGAGGTGTGGAAATTAGGAACCTGCCGCTCTAGAGCCGAGTGCGTCTCTGTCCTCCCAGAGGACACACGAACACGAGTCTTGGCACCCGCCATCACTAACCGTGCTCCTTCTGCCTCCATCATCTGCTGTCCTGACAAAGTTCTGCACGGGACCCAAGTCAGTACAGCCAGCCCTGACGCAGAATAGTGGTAATGCAATGGTCTCCTGATGCCCCAAGAGGGCAGTCCCCACACCATCACCAGGCTTGCTGCGTGCCACGTTCCTCATGCTGCTGCGAGCAGAGACGTGTGGTGAAGGCAGGCTCTGGTCCATCTGGCCTTGCCCCGACCCTGGGCGCTCTGGGTGTTGTTTCACACACTGGTGTCGCACCCAGCAGATCTGGAAGAGTAGTGCTGGCTGAAACATGTAGGGGTTTTTTAAGATGTTGATTTTCGCTAAAATTTTGGTATTCTCCTCACCTCCACTGCATTGCACAGTGGTTGCACTAGCACGGCCGTGGGTGTTAACAGACTTTTAAAAAGTTAAGTTTTCTATGCAAACAGTAGGCAAGAGAACAGAGAGACACCAATAGTGCTGTCATGCTCTCTTAAATGCCAGCATCTGAAGCTCCACATTAAATCTGAAGCTCTGGTCTACTGACATCGGGGTGTCCTTTCAGGTGTCTGTCCTTCAGTGGCCAACTGCTGCATACCCAGGGTTTGCTTTCCCTGCAGGACACATGAACGACTGTGACCAGAAAATGTGTGAGATCTGTGGTGCACCTCTGCTTTTGCTAAGGTGAATGAGGTCCTGCATGGACCTGCTGTTCCTACCTGATCTCAGTGATGCCCTCCAGACCTCGGTGTCATTGCGTGTGTCTGTCATACGCAGCCCAATTTCCTCTGCCATGTTCCTGATGTAGATCTCAAAAAAGAGCTGCTGTTCCTTAGGACTCTTGTAGCAAAATGGCAACTGTTCCTGTAAAGGTAAGAAGCAAGCTGAGTCTCTCTCACCATGGGGAGCTGCAGTGAATTCCCATACATCACCCTGTGTTTCTTGGCCGCACCGGCAAGAGGAAAGACAAGGGAAGATGCCCATGTCGGGGCTCTGCTATGCTGCTGACATCACAAATTTTGGTTGGAAGGGACCTCTGGAGTGTCTTATCTGACCTACCTATCAAAGATGGACCAATGTCAAGTCTAGATCTGCTCAGCTGGGGCTTTGCCCCGCTGGGTACTGAAAACCTCAGTTTTCAGCAGAGATTCACCACCTTCTAACCTTCTCTGATGGCTGCATCTCCACTGAGGGGAAAAACTTTTCATAGAGTTTGGCCTGAACTTCTCAGATTGCAGCTTATGGCCTTTACCACTTTTACCTGACACTGCTGAGAGCTTGGCTCTGTTATCTTTACAACTGCTTCGCAAGGCAGAGGTCACATTTACTGCCCGGTCATTCTGGGAAGTGGGTAAACTGAAGCTTTCCTCGTCATTCACGGATATAAGACTGTCTCTCAATTAAGCTGAAGGCTCTGACTGTTTGGGGCGGCGCTCAGCGCGGTAGCAGGGTTGTAGCTGCAAGAGGGAACGATGAATAAGCCGGAGGGGAGGGATGCCAACGTGGAAAGGCAGGAGAACTTAGCTGGCAGGAAGATCGTGCCATTCGGCAAAGGCAAATGTAGAGTCCGGCATCTGGGATGGGACAGCCCCACACCAGACGAGAGCCTGGGCACTGGGCGGGCACAGAAAACAGCTTCACAGGGAAGGATTTGGGCATCCTGGTGGCATGCAAGTTGAACAGGAGTCAGCAGTGCACCTGGGCAGCAAAGGCTGGCCACATCCCAGGCTGTATTAGCAAGACCACAGCCAAAACAGTGAGATCAGGAGTCCCTTCCCTCTGTTCAGCGCTGTAAGGCTGCATTTGGGCACTGGGTCCAGTTTGGGGCTTCCCAGTACAAGACAGACATGGACATCCTGGAGCTTCAGGCTTGTGCGCACGATATGCAGGTAGAGGCAGAGGGAACTGGGTTTGTTCGGCACAGAGAAGAGAGTCATGGGGAGAACTAATCACTGTCTAACTCCATGAAGGGGGACTAAAGAGAAGACAGAGCCAACCTCCCAGAGGTGCGGAGTGATGAGACGAGAGGCAACAGGCACAGGCTGCAGCAACGGAAACTCCAATTAGGTAACAGAGAAAAAATGTCACAACGAGGGTGTTACAAACTGGACTAGAGACCCAGAGAGGCTGTGGTGTCTCCATCCTTGGAGATACTCAGCTTTGCCTGGACATGGTCCTGAGCACCCTGATCTGACTTTAAAACTCACATGCTTTAAGCAAGAGATTGGACCAGAGACCTCCTGAGGACCAGCGACCTCCTGAGGTCCCACCCAACCTAAGCTTCTCTGATTCCCTTCTCATGATTGTGGTGCAGTGCAGACCCATGAAAGTAGATTTTCATAACCAGCCATGAGTGTGTCATTGGACTGTCATCAGCTGCTCTCAGGATGTCACAAACTCCTGTGTAAAACAAGTAACCACAAGGACTAAATGGCCAAATCCTCCCAGATTTCCCCACCCATTGCAACTTGACTGCCACAGGGCATGGTGCTCAAAATCAGAAATCCCCAAACGGATTTTCAATAGAGAAACAAGTCACATCACATCATGGCATAGAGAGAAAATCTCTTTCCAGTCCTGCTCCTAAGCTGAAGGAAACTCACTGCAGAGGAGATGAAGATTAAGGACTTGGGACCACACCTGAGTCAACACCTCTGAAATTCCTTCTTGATATGCAGCTATGGTAAGTCCAACAAGTCCCGCATTATGATTTCTGCCATAAGGAAGAACAAATGCAGCCCCTTTGGGGCTTTGGGGTGGGCTCCGTGCTCTTTCTGGGAATGTGTATCATGAAATAACTTTGCCACTTGTAACCAGTACAGTTCCCTGCACCTCTGTCTCTGAGACCTACTGAGACAGATTCTGGTGGCAGAAGACAGAGACTTCTTGTATTTTCTGTTTCACCGCAAAAAAAAAAGGGGGGGGGGACACACGGACGACAATCCCACTTACTTCAGGCATTATCTCCACAGAATTTGTACTGGTCACCCGGTAAGTGCAGCCTAAGAACAGAGGTCTGAATGGAGGAGGCTTGGGAATAATCTTTGAATTCCAATCCATTTCTTGTTTTTCAATGGCCTGTAAACATCAAACATTGCTTTTGAGAGAGGGGGGGAAAACAAAAAAAAAAAAGAAGAGCTGTGAACTGGAGGTGGCCCTCGAAAAGTCAAGAAGAGAAGAGGCCGACTCAGACAGAAGAGACCGCTGAGGTGTACTGCAGGCAGTGCTGTGCTTCGGGGGGCAGGCAGCTCCTGCCGGGCGCAGGCATGACCCTACCGTGTGCAGGCAGGAACCCTGGGCAGGGTAATGCCCTGTCACTCGGGGAAAGAGGGTCAGGGCTTGCGCACAATGGGAGAACAGCCTCTACGCAGCCACCTACTGCTGCGCCCGGCCGTGGCCAGCAAGTCCTATGTCTGCTCCGTGTCGCAGAGCACCCTGTGCCATGGCTTCGCTCGTGCCAGGATGTGGTGTCCCAGCTGAAAAGACAATTCCTGGAGGCATCTGGGAAAGAGGAGAGTGGGGGAGATGAGGTGGGAGATGGGGGCACAGGGCCGCGTGTGGCAGAAAAACTGGGAGGCATCGTATCAAATCCAGTCCCTGCTATTGCAGCCACCCGACACGTCATCCCTTTTTAACCCGGTCAAGCTCCCTCCGTCTTACCTGCTTCACAGAATTGTCATCTGGGATCAGGTAGAGGTGAAGAGTTGTATTTGCAGCGTTGAGCTGCTGGAAGATCAACACCACGGAGTGCACAGGGAGTGAATTTAAAGCCGAACGTATCTTCCTCCAAAGCACCCCAAGCAGGGAGAAGCTGGGATTCTCCAGGACAGCAGAGAAAGCCATCAGTCTGGTCGGTCTCTCCAGGGTCATCTTCCCAGATGTAAAATGGGCAATGGAGCACAGGCTGGAATCTACACCTTCTGCAAGAGACAGCAAAGGCAACAAGGTTCTGTTTCGTCTTCCCGGCACCCTCTCAGGCTGCCTCCTTCTCTTTAAGGCTTTAGCAGCAGAAAGGAGACGTGCACCCACACACGATGACATGCCCTGCTTTAGGTCCCATGTGTGCCCTGGTAGCTTTTGGGGTTCGGCAGGGAGTTGCAAGCCTTTGGCAGTCCTCCCACCAGCTGAGAAAACTGCAAATCTGAAGGTGGCAGCTTGGGACTGTGAAAATCGTCCGATTGCACCCATGCAGCATCCTTCGTACCAGCACCACACCGCCACATATCGGGGGTGGTGAGTCACTCCGGTTTTTGATCACCAGGGCCACCTGAACATCCCGAGGTGACATCCCTGGGGGTGACTGGGTCATCAGAGCTCTGCTGATGTCCAGTCACCCGGGTTATCTCTGGAGCACGCTTTGCTATTAACCCGACAGATTAAGACAATTACAGCATGTTGCTCAGCACAGCTGTGCCAGCGAAGAGTGTGCAGAGCCACTTTTCAGCTGACACAGCTCTGCTTGCCGGGCCCTGGGTGGGAGATGGAGCCACACAACAAGAAACTCCTCTTGCAGTGTGCTCTGTTTTGTAAGAAGACGTGGATTTGCCAGGAAGAGTCCCTGGGCCAGCAGACCCAGTGGCTGTGTCAGGGCACCCCAGCACAGGGCACCGGTTCTCCTCTGCATGCTTTGCAGCCCAGCTGCGGGTGCTGATGCTCTTTCTCCGCTTATTAACAGTAGCTCATTAAGAGCACCGCAGAGCAGAGCACTCACATCCAAGCCTTGTGGCCCCTCATGTTTCCTAGGTGAAAATGGACAATACTGTTCCACTTATTCTTCTGCTCAGGCCAGCTCTGACCTATTGCATCCCACCCCGGGGTGGTCCAGCCTGTCATGGTGGGCAGATCAGGGACAGCCATTGGCATCCATAGCTGCAAAGAGCTGAGAAACTCTGCCAGGGAGCCCGGGGGCTGACATGCAGCTGGGCTGGGATAGTGCCCAGGGGTCATCACGGCAGCTGGGGGGAGAGGGTGGGCGAGGAAGGGCTGGTGGGGTGGGGTGGGAGCTGGGGAAGGGACCACTGCGAAGGCTTGACAGAATGTGAGAGAAGGATGAAGGGCACCAAAGAAAAGCAGAGGAATACAAAGGAGTACACAGGACCTTGGAGGGAAGAGGGAATTTGGCTCTGTCTGGAGGGAGGTCTCCAAGGAGCCAGAAATGTCCACGGGAGGGGACAGGCTGAGGGATGGTGGCTCGGGAGACCCAGGTCCCTGTGGCTGCTGTACCTGCCAGGCAGACGAAGTGGGGGAGATGCACTGCCTCCACGACCCCAGGCTGCACCTGGATGTGGAAGAGGGGTCCGGCGGGCACCCACATTTCCTGGTGACCCTTGCTCAGGTACTTGGTCCAGCTGGAGTATTTGTAGGTGATGATCACTGCCGACTTCACCTTGAAGCTGAGGCCTGTGATGGAGCACTGGAAGGTGCCTGCTTCGGGGAGATGAGCTCTGCAGGTGGAAGGGATGATAGGCTCATGCCATCTGGGACGGGGCTTTTGGAAGGTGCTCCCACTTCTCCCAATAGCTCTTACCGGTATGTCCAAAACTCTTGGGTTATCTCCGGCGTCACTTCTGGAAAACCCTGCAACACAAGTGCATCCAGTTTGGGACAGAACGGGATGTTGTGTACTGGGGTACAGTAGGGGTACCTTGCAGGGGTAGTGCTGGCATTTACAGGGAAGCGCGATGCAGCATGGCGTGGGAGCTTGGAGCCTCGCAAGCAGCAGCAGGGGATCAGCAGCTCCTGTTTGGCACCCAGAAAGGCACCACTCTCATCAGCGAAGCGACCAGAAAAGTCATTGACTGGCAACTCCTCTGCCTTGGGAGCCAAAAAAACCACTGGCCTCATCTGAGGCTCTTTAATGCAGATCCGTGGAGTGATGCCCAAGAGAAATCCTGCGTGCAGGCACAGCAAGGAGGACCGCACTCTTAGCCACCACTTGGGTGGATGCCACTGGTGTGGGGGAGGCATCGGTTAGTCCATGCGTTGCCCATGCATCAGTAGGAAAGATAACGGGTGGACATGCAGAGCAGCTCCCAGAGCTCCAAACTTTGTGCTTCACCCACTGATTTTTGGATGAATTTTGCAAACAGAAATTCCAGATAGTTTCTGTTTCCTGAGAGAGTAAATGTTGTTGGCTGCTGACTTTCTTGTGAATAAAGCCTGGGCTGTTCCCTTTCTGCCACGGTGTACCAGCAGAGAGGACAGTGGCCACAGGTAGACATAATGTTTAGCAGTGAGAATAAATTTGGGATGCGAGCAAGTGGAATTTGTCTTCCCATGGACTTGAAAACTGGGGCAGCTTGTGCTGAGTTAGCATAGCAAAAGGGACTGGACTCTTCTGGAGGATGAAGAATTGCTGTGAATAACAGGTTTTGAAGGCACATCCAACCTGGTGGCAGCCAGGGTCAGTCCCAGGCTTCTTGCTGTGCCATTTCCTTTGGGTGCGACAGTGCCCTGCCAGGACCGGCAAAGCCCTTACCATCCCCAGGCAGCGCTGGCAGTTTCCCTGCGGTGGTGAGCCCATGTTTAGCCAGCAATGGCGGTGTCCCAAAAGATAGCTCTCCTGCAGACGGGAACATAGAGGAAAGCACTCACAAGCTGTACGTCTCCCCTCCAGCCGTGCTTGCCTGCTGGAGGCAGGAGGAGAGGACTTCTGAGAGCATGAGCAACATCTCCAGCATCAGGTGTAGCGCTGGTCCTGCTCACTGCTCCTGCAGGGATGAAACAGGCTGGCACGGGAGTTGTGCCCTCCTGGCCTGCTGGCAGGGTGACGTCCCTCTCCTGGGACTGGGGACAGCAATCACCAGCTCTGGCCGCCCGGCAGAGCGCTGCAGTGGTGGTGGGCAGTGCCAGACACCCCTCCTGAAGGGCCGGCTGCGAGCCCGCGCACTGCAGCCGTGCCTTCCTCCCCAGCCCCACGTGCTCCTCACTCAGGCACCCCAGCTGCAGGCACTGTGTCCTGCAAGACCTCACCTCTATGAGCCACGAGGCCTCGTCTGACAGATGGATTCCCATAGCCGTCCTTGGTGCTGGAAAAGACATTGTCATTTTTTCCTCATGTTTGGGAGAAGAAGCCATCCTCAAGCAGCCTTCACCCAGCCTTCCCAATCCCGTTAGCTGCACTGGTCCCCTCATGTACCACCGCATACTCCCACATCTACCACAACTTCCACATCCTCCTCTGTGAACCATGGCAGGGACATGCTCACCACCACGCAGTGAGTTGAGGCACACACTCACCACCACGCAGCTCCCCCAGCCCCGCTACTCCAGCTGGTCAGTGAGGACCAGGGCATCACCTTACCTTCGTATTCAGGGATGTAACCACCACCACCTCGCACTGCAACGGAAACACAAAGCAGAGGAGAGCTCGGGAGCCAGGCCGCATCCAGAGGAGTACCCCATCCTCTGCCTGTCCCCTCCTTTCACCTCTTTGCTATGAAACCTCTTCCTGACGGTTTGTGCCCACTCACACCAAGCCGCCGGGCACAGGAATCCCACCCAGCCCCCCGTCCCAGGAGGGCAGCGCACTGTGGGGCTGAGAACACGCTCCCAGCCTCCGCCTCTCCGTCCCTTCCTGCCACCCCTCCTCCTGCCTTCGTCCCGCATAGGTGCATCCCTGGGCCCTCGCCTTCCTCTCACCTTCCAGTGCAAGCGCGCTCTGGCAGCTCCCTGGTGCACACACAGCCGCAGCTGCCTGTTCCCCTTCCCTGCGGGGGCTCCTGCCCGCGGCCCTGGGCAGGGTCCCTCCTCGGGGACACCCCGGTCTGCATCCCCTCCCCTTCTCCCACCTCCAGACAGATCCTCTCCTGTCTTCCCCGGCCACCCTGCACTTACATCTTCGCACCTGGTGCAAAGTAGAGTAGGGTGTGATTTTATAGTGTTGCAGAGTCTGTTCGTCCTCCATTTGTCGACCACAGTAGATCAGCCTTCTCTCTTCGGGGCTCACTGAGGAGTCCTGCACGCTCAGCTTGGCCTTAAGGTCCCTCACAGTGTCATCGAGAGACACCAGCATTGAAAATGCTTTGCCTTCCCCAGTCTTAATGAGGACAGGGAACTCATCGGGGCTGTCGGTCGCAGACTCCTGCTGCTCCACGGGCACTCTTTTCGCCATTCTGGACTGTCTAAACCACGACACTGAGAGTCCGTCACTTCCTGAGAAACCGAAAGCACCGGGTGACGTCAGGGCTGATCCGCCATCAAAACGCCTTCAGATCTGGCTGAGCACTCCCTCTCCTGCCCATGGCCCCTGCCTGCACCCAGCTTTCTCCCCTGCCTGCATGGGCTCTCTCCCTGCCTGCACTGGGCGTTTTTCCCTGCCTGCACCGGGCTGTCTCCCCTGGGCTGCTCAATTCGCCCAACCTCTCACTCTTATTACCTCCCCTTTCCCCTTTTCCCCAACCCAGCTCCTCTTCCAGGATTCCCTTCCCCGGGGAAGGCAGGGAAGGGCTGTGCAGGCAAAGGCAGAGCTTTTTCCCGAGGGAACGGTGCAGCAGAGGCTTGGATCCAGCCTGGAAAGCAGGTCTGGCAGTGCCAGAGGGTCCCACGCTGGGTGACAGGGTCACCCCAGCGCCTGCTCTTCACCCTCTCCCCAGCACATCCCTGCCCTCCATTTCCTGACAGCCCTGCCAGTGCCTGGCTGGGCAGGATGACTCTGCCAGCCCGTCCCCGTCCCCGCTGCAGTGACATGTGTGCAGGGGGGGTTAATTTGGGGGTGGTGGGAGATGCAGGGCTGAGGTTTGTCATGTCCCTGACCCCTGCAGAGCTGGCAGGGAGCTGAGGGTAGGCAGCATGGTGGGCAGCTGCCTGGCACCGCCAGCATGGCTCTGTCAGCCTCCCAGTGAGGCACCGCTGTCCCTCTCGGGGCAGACCCACAGCACCCACCGCCCCCACCAGCACCCCCAGGATGGCTGAGCACCCTGCCCCACACCCCAGGGAGCCCAGGGCAGCCCAGGAGCCAGGCAGGAGGGGCAGGACATTCAGGGCTCCCTCTGTCCTGGCACAGGGCAAATGAGGACATTGCAGTGACCGACCCGGCAGTCTGGGCAATGCCCAACGTCAGAGTAGCGTCAGGGTGATGGAGTCAGTGCCCGCAGCTCGAGGCTGCATGGCGATGATGGGGGCACGCACTGCCCAGCACCTCTGCGGTATTTATGGGGCTGCCCACTCGCCCTGCCGTCACCCGTCCTTGCCCTAGCCCAGTCACCCCACTGCAGGCAGAGCTCCGTCTCCCGCTGTTCCCCGGGCAGCACAGCCCTGCAGTGCTGCTGGGGTCGCTCCGTTGCTCCTCTGGAGTGACACGCTCAGCCCTGCAAGGTGCAGTGAAAACAGCCCCAAATCTTGTACGCTTGTAGTGTCAGCCAAGTCTGACCGCCCGTGGCCCACCGACCAAGCTTACTGTTGGGATAATTCCCTGTAAAGCCATTTATCGACTCCTTCCAAGGACCAGTCCTTGCTGTTTGCTTGGCAGCTGCGTGGGAGCGGTTTTCCACGCCAGAGGTCAAAAATCCTGCGTGCTGGGTAGGGAAGCAGAGGTGGCCATGGGCTGCCACGGGTCCCTGCTGCCAGCAGTACCTTATCCTGTGGGATGAGCTCTGCTCCGTGCCCCAGCAGGGCACAGCACCACGTGCAGGGGTGCTCCTGCTCCGCTGCCTGCAGACATACCCAATGGACCCGGTGTCATTTCTCCTGCCTTAAAACTGAGGCAGCTCCAGGAGGATCCACAGTCCCTTTTGCAAAGCCGTGGAGGCATGTGGCTCCCCGGAGCTCCCACGTCTACAGGCTCCATCCATGGGTAGTTGTTTTAAAAGGAGTGAAAACCACAGTTGAACGGCCCAGTAAAGCCTCTTGTCTTATTTTGAGTAGGGAGCAAGAAACTAAAGCTGTGCATCAGGGGGCAGTGAACCACTTGGGCAGCCGGAGGGGATCGTAAGACGGCCGTGATGCAAGACATTCTGTACATGGGGAAGACCTTCCTCTGTACCCAGGGTTGTCTCAAAAGTCACAGAGGGAACACAAAGGACATATTTGGGGCCTGCAATAAGGAAAGGCACGCAGAGATGCTGACGCTCTGACAAACTGGGTATGATGGAGAAAGAAAAGAGTTTACTGGGGAGAACAGAGACGCGCGCGGGGCAGGCAGGAGGGGGAAGAGATCCCCGTATCCAAGGGGAGAGCAGAGAAATGTGAATCCAGAAGGAAAACGTAAAACAGGCGACCTGGGAAAGGAGGGGACGGGTAATTCCCAGGAGGGCAGGAGGGACCCCGGCTGCAGGCGGCGGTGCCCGACCCCGGCGGGAGCCACAC